TGAAATAAATTCTTCTCGGGGGAGGGGCAGGCATCCACTTAGTATTTGGTGCTGGGACCAGCCCCCCAGACCTCTCCACTGGTTCTCTACTCCGCCGCCGGCATGTTGTCTTCACACCTTGGAGCACTGGGTTAAGTCTGGTCCCTCTTAGTACAAATCTTATAGAACATTTCATTCAATTCACTGAAAACATTTGCCTGACCTGTTGCTCCAAGATGTGAATGCAACATGCCGGCATGGAGTAGGGAACCAGTAGAGAGGTCTGAGGGGCTGGCCCTCATCCCAACTACGTGGACAGCCGCCCCTCCCCCCAAAATAATTTACTTCAGAGGAAAGCACTGAAGCTTCAGCTCAGGGAGAGGGACATGCCTGATCAGAGCACATGGGGGGCAAGTGAAGGGGGAGGAAGAGAAGAGTAGAACACATCCTGGCCCACCAAGCCTTTAGGATGATATCCACCTTAGAGCAGCCAATACACATAGAGGACCACATTGCCGGCCCCACTACGAGACGTGACATCCCTCACATAACCCTACAGTGGACAACACTGGAAACACAGTGTGGGAATTGGGCCGATCTGACCCCACCACACCGAGGCAAAACACTAAGAACAGTAAGGGGTAAGGATGTCTCTAGGGAGTACCAAAAATAGACTTTGGGCCCAGGGCTTGGCACCCCATCAGACTCTACCGGAAAATACTCCTAAAGTTCAAAAAGCAGACCTTGAACTATTTACTGGTTTTTCTTTTTGCCATTGGTTTTGTTGTTGCTGTGTTTTCTTTTGTTGCTTTGTTTTGCTGTCCTGTTTTTTGTGTGCATATTATTATCTCTAGGTCTATCGAAATAAGATAGGCTGGATAAACGATCTGGAGGAGAAAACAACAGGACCGATGGTTCTGGGGGGGACAAGGGAACAACAAGTGATCCAAAATCAGTGGCAAGGAGGGTGTAAGAGGCCGGGTAGGGCTTGATCAAGGGCAATGTAACTGAGAGGAATTACTGAAACCCAAATGAAGTCCCAGCATGATGGTGGGACAAGAGGAAAGTAAAAGGAAATAGAGGAAAGTACTACGAGGCAAGGAAAGAACTAGGAGGCACAGGGCATTTATAGAGGTATGTAGCTATGTAAATATATTTATACATGATAATGGGGAAATAAATCCATGTACATATATTTATAGGTTTAGCGTTAAGGTAGAAGATGAACATTGAGCCTCAAGTCAAGTACTCCCTCAATGCAAGAACACTTTGTTCTATTAAACTGGCATTAAATGATGCTCACCTTCCCTACACGATCAATGAAGACAAAGCGGGTGTATAAGCACATGTGGTGAAGAAAGCTGATGGTGCCCGGCTATCAAAAGATATAGTGCCTGGGGTCTTAAAGGCTTGAAGATAAACAAGTGGCCATCTAGCTGAGAAGCAACAAAGCCCACATGGAAGCCCACTAGCCTGTGTGATCACGAGGTGTCGATGGGATCAGGTATCAGGCATCAAAAAACAAAAAAAATCACATCATTGTGAATGAGAGGGTGTGCAGTGTGGCGACTCAAAGCCCATCTTCAGGAAACTGGACATCCCTTACAGAAGGGCCGTGGGGAGGAGATGGGCCAGTCAGGGTGCAGTGTAACAACAATGAAACATACAACTTTCCACTAGTTCCTAAATGCTTCCTCAACCCCACGATCATGATCCAAATTCGACCTTACAAATCCGGCTAGATCAGAGGATGTACACTGGTATAGATAGGAAGTAGAAACATGGGGAATCCAGGACAGATGAACCCTTCAGTCCCAGTGGCGAGAGCGGCAATACCAGGAGAGTGGAGGGATGGTGGGGTAGAAAGGGGGAACAGATTACAAGGATTTATATAACTACCTCCCTGGAGAATGATCAACAGAAAAGGGGGTGAGGGAAGACATCAGTCAGTGTAAGACATGGAAAAATAATAATTTATAAAGTATAAGTGAGGAGGGAGGGAGAGAAGATGAGGGAGGGTAAAAAGTGAGGAGCTGATACAAGGGGCTCAAGTCAAAAGCAAATGTTTTGAGAATGATGAAGGCAACAAATGTACAAATGTGCTTGACACAATGGATCTATGTATGGACTGTGGTAACAATTGTATGAGCCCCCAATAAATTGATTAAAAAGAAAACATTTGACTGTGATTTAAAAGTTATTAAAAATGGTCTTTACAGTTATAGTACCATCAGATGTCTGTTGATATCCTTCATAAGGGGGCTTTTAAAAGGTCATGGAAAAATGGGACAAAAGAAAATGAAAAATTTCCACAGACTTTTTGAAGTCTTCTCCTATAAGGCAAAGGCAAAAAATGTGATAAATAAATCTAGGACTAAGTTGAATCCTCACATTATACAGACAAGAAAACAAACTTCAAAGAGGTTATGCCCAATATCATTTATATTAGACCAAAATACAGGCCCTAACATGCCCAGTGTGTCCTCTTGTGAAGATTTCATGTGGTCTCAGTTAGAAAGATTCATTTATGTGACTCTTCCTGAAACTGTGGAATTAAGAAGGAAAAAAGGAGTGAATTTGCTCTAAGAGTAAATTACCCAAATGGCGATACCATAGACTGATGTGGGAAAGGGGGAGGGGGTACGTTGCTGTCCAGCCACTAGGTGGAGTGTCATTTCATTTACATTAAAAACAAAGGGGCTGAAAACCTTCACTTAGAATTACTGACAGTCTCCACAGGGAAAGAGGGACCAGACTTCAACCCAGGGCTCCAAGATGTGAATGCAACCTGCCGACATGGAGTAGGAAATCAGTGGACAGGTCTGAGGGGCCAGCCCCAGTCCCAACTACTACATGGACACCTGCCACTCCCCCCAATAGAATTTATCTCAAAGGACGGCACTGAATCTGGAGCTCTGGGAGAGGGACACATCTGATTGGAGCAAAGGGGAGCAGATGAAGGGGGAGGAGGAGAGAGGGGAGTACATCCTGGCCCATGAGGCCTTGAGGATGATGTTCCCGATTAGAGCAGCCAGTCCACAGAGAGGACCACATGGCCTGCCCCACTATCAGACATGGCGCCCCTCACTGACCAATAGCTCTACAGGGGACAACACCGGAGACAAAGTGTGGGAATTCTGCCCGTTCTGATCCCACCACACTGAGGCAAAAACACTAAGGGGGTGCAACAGCAAGAGAACGGAGCGGCGAGGTCCCCAGGGAATGCCGAAGGTGGACTTTGGGGCCAGGGCTTGGTGTCCCAACAGACTGGACTGCTAAAAGCCAACAGCCTTTGAACTAACTACAAGCTTTTCTTTCTTGTTGTGTTTTGTTTTGTTTTTTTGTCACTGGTTTGTTGTTGTTGTTTTGTTGTATATTGTTGCTCGGTTTTGCTCTGTCTTGTTTTTGTGCATGTCATTATCTCAGCAGGTCTGTCTAAATAAGAGGCTGGATGAACAATCTGGAGGAGAAGAAAACAGGACGGACAGTTCCGGGGGGACATGGGAGAGGAAAGGGCATTGGGGGAAAGGTAGTGGTGTTAACAAACCTAGGGACCAGGGAACAACAAGTGATCCAAATCGGTGGCGAGGAGGGTGCAGGAGGCCTGGTAGGGCGTGATCAAGGGTAATGTAACTAAGAGGAATTACTGAAACCCAAATGAAGACTGCGCATGATAGAGGGACAAGAGGAAAGTCAAAGGAAATAGAGGAAAGAGCTAGGAGGCAAAGGGCATTTATGGAGGTCTAAACAAAGGCATGTACATATGTAAATGTATTTATATATGAGGATGGGGAAACAGATCTATGTGCATATATTTACAGGTTTAGTATTATGGTAGCAGAAGGACATCGGACCTCCTTCAATGTAAGAATGCTTTCTTCTATTAAACTGGCATTCTATAATGCTCAACTTCCCGACATAATCACTGAAGACAAAGAGGGTGAATAAGCCAATGTGGTGAAAAAAGCTGATGGTGCCCAGCTATCAAAAGATATACTGTTTGGGGTCTTAAAGGCTTGAAGGTAAACAAGTGGCCATCTAGTTCAGAAGCAATAAGGCCCACATGGAAGAAGCACACCAGCCGGTGTGATCACCATGTGTTGAAGGGATCAGGGATCAGGCATCATCAGAACAAAAAATCCTATCATTGTACAGAGAGTGCGGAGTGGACACCCAAAGCTCATTAGTAGGCCACTGGATATCCCCTTACAGAAGGGTCTCGGGGAAGAGATGAGCCAGTCAGGGTGTGATGTAGCACATACATCTTTCCTCTACTTCCTAAATGCTTCCTCCCCACCCACTATCATGATCCCAATTCTACCTTACAAATCTGGCTAGACCAGTGGATGTACACTGGTACAGATAGGAACTGGAAACACAGGGAATCCAGGGCAGATGATCCCTTCAGGACCAGTGGTGAGAGTGGCAATACTGGGAGGGTGGAGAGAAGGTAGGGTAGAAAACACGAACTGATTACAAGGATCTACATATAACTTCCTCCCGGTGGGATGGACAACAGTGAGACGGTCCGTCAGTTTAAGATATGATAAAATAATAATAATTTATAAATTATCAAGGGTTCGTGAGGGAGGGGAGCGCAGGGAGGGAGGGGAAAAAATGAGGAGCTGATGCCAGGGGCTTAAGTGGAGAGCAAATGTTCTGAGAATGATGTGGGCAATGAATGTACAAATGTGCTTTACACAATTGATATATGTATCGATTGTGATGAGTTGTAAGACCCCCTAATAAAACGATTTAAAAAAAGGGTTACTGACACTGTCGAATAAATTAAAGTCTATTTTACATATCTGCTTCCTATGACTATTTTAAAACTAAGAGCTTAAGGATTATCTCGTTTTTAAATTTCATAATAAAGAATAATTCTTTGTTGACCCTGAAATTATGTCAAAACCACAATGGTTTCTGGAAGACGGTCTCAACTGAACTACAAGCAAATAGTATGATGCAGGACAACCTTTTGTTATAGATTTTAATGAAGAGCATGCCGAATCAGCCCGATGATGACAGAAGCAGGGCCGGTGTTTTGTCTGCTGTACGTGGGGTCGCTAGGAGCTGGAATGAACTCAATGGCACCTCATAGCAATAATTTTCTCAGCAAGTCCTGCTGTGGTTCTTAGTATTATCCTCCTCAAGCCATGTTTTTAACAGCACCAAATGGAGGAAATCACACAACAAAATAAATATATAGCCACCATTTCTGTCCATAGCAGAAAACATTACTTCCTTAGGAAGTATGATCATATTCTTGTAGTTTAGTGAACCACATTCAAAAGTCATTTTTGGATATCCTAACTACAAGAACTATAGTTGACCTATCACTATTCTCATGGAAAGAAAAGAATAATGTAAAAGCTTAATTTATATGTTCTTTCATAAAGGAAAGAAACCCATGCCTAAGATCAATGTGTTTATTCATGAACATAAGCAAGGTAATGGACACTGGAAAACACAAATTATTAGCTGTTTATTAATTTGACTTTGGCACACAAATACTCTCCATGTATCAGAAAATAACTCTTGTACTACCTAGCAAACAATTTACCCATAATAATACCCAATAATCAGAGTACAAGCAAAATGAGGAAATTCCTCAGATTTACCCGTTTGTCCAGCGTTCTTTCCCTTACAAAGCCAAGTAGCTGGTCATTGACTAAGGCAAGGTCCCTTTTGGCAGCAGTTATTATCGTAACAATAACATCATGACGAATAGCTTCTTCTGGATCATGTGATCTAACTTTTAAATATTCTGTAATGACAAAGCAAAGTTAAGCTGTTAGCTAAAACAAAAATGGTGGAAAAGACTATGCTTTTGTCAATATCAAACTGTGTCATGGATTAAAATAATTTTGAGGAAACAATATACTCTAATGAAAAGATAAATTAAACCACATAATTATTAGTGCACTATCGTGCAATGTATTTTAATTGGACTATTCAAGACAAAGGAGTGTTGATGACAGAGTGGGTTAAGCAAGTCAACTGCAAGGTGAGCAGTAAACCTAGCAACCACTCCACAATAGAAAGATGTTAGGGAGCAGTTCTACTATCCTGTAAGAATTGGAATTGACTTGATGGCAGTGATTTAGATTTGGTTATCTTAGACCAATAAGCAATATCATGAATTTCAACTTCATTGATCCACAATCAATACCCATGAAAGCAGCAGTCAAGAAATCAAAGTATTGCAGTGGATAAGTCTGCTGGAAAAGTCTCTTAAAAAAGTGTCAAAAAGCAAAGCTGTCACCTGGAGGACAAGGTGCACCTAACCTAAGCAATGGTATATTTTTAGTCACTTCATATGCATATGGAAACTAGATCGTGAGTCAGAAAGACTGAAGAATTGAGGCCTTTGAATTATGGAGTTGTCAAAGAGTGTTGAATACAACATGGACTGCGATAAGAATAAACAAATTTGGCTTAGAAGTACAGGCAAGATGCTGCTTAGACGAGAAGATGGCGAGACTTCGTCTCTTTCATCTCATGTACTTTTTGGATATGTTGTGAGGAGGCACCAGTCCCTGGAGGACATCATGCTTGGTGGAGATTCAGCGAAAATGAGAATGAACTTAAAGAAATACAGTGGCTGCAAATGGACTCAAACATAGCACCAACTATGTGGATGGTACAGGACGAGGCAGTGTTCTGTCTGCTTGAACACAGAGTGATTATGAGTCAGAACTGAATGGATGGCACTAACAACAACCCTGGAAAATATGTCACAACATATTTGATTTACATAGTTTAGAATTAAAGGTACAAAGAAAAGATTTGTTTTAATGGTAGAAATGTAGATAAAAGCTTGCTTACAGACTTCCTGTTTGTATTATAGATCCAAATTAATATACTTTAACTTTTAAAAAATTCCAAAATAACTCAATACAAACAAAATAGAACAAAAGAATGTAATTGGTTTTTTACTCTCTTATGTTGCTGTTAGGTCCATGAAGTCAGTTTTCTACTAGATAGGTAGGCTTAAATGCTCTGGGTTCAAGCAAAGAATCAGAAGTACTTCTAGAAAATAATCACCATTTCCTTTACTATTAGCTATGTATCTAAATTGAAATATTGTCCAGCCATAAGGCTGATCTAGCCAGTTAAAATTGATTCAGAAATTAAAATGGGTTACAGGTACAACCTAAAATATGTTTATATTCTTACACTAAATTTTATTCTTGCAATAAACCAGCTAACTTACCTGTGAGATCCTTTGCTAAATCTGGGTGATTCATTAAACAGTGACTGGCAAATTTCACACTTTCTAATCTCACAGGAACATGAATGTCATTAAATCTGCAAAAGATTGTTAATTTTTAATTTTAAGTAAAAAATAATTATTCTCAAATAGTTATTTTGTTATAAAGATTTTTATAACAAGATAATTTTATAATTATATATTGTTATAAAGATTATAAAAGCTTATGATCTATAGTTACTGATTAGACAATTTGTCAATTATTCTAGTGATAAATATTATGATCTAATGGAAGAATATTGAGCATAAACTTTTAAGTGAAAAGATACATAATTCCAGAAACACATTTTCAAAAAGAGGTTGTATATCATACATACTAAAGCAAACCCAAAAAAGTAAAACACACACACCCTACCAGAACTACAAAATTGTAAGAGTCAAAACATTTTAGAGTTTAAAATTCAAACTAAACAGTCTGCTTCAAAAAAAAAACAAAACAAAAGTTACTGAAGTAAATGTCTGAATAGCAGACCTCCGTTCTTATCCCGAGTTAATCATGCATTTCTAACTCTAAGAAAAAAAAGAATTATAATCTTTTAATACTATGGAATATCAAAACACAGAAAAATAATACAAAAAGACTGATAGAATTTCTTTGTTTCTAGAGACACACACATCCTGAGTGTCAGCAGCAAATGGGAAATAATGAGTGCAGGGAGCTTAATTAACTTTATAATCAATCTCTCTATATTAAATTCTAATGGACTACCCACCCAGTTTATAATAAAAAATTCTTATACACTATCTAAATATTTGGCATGTATTCCTTTTAAGAGCTTCAAATTAACCTGTTCTGAGCCAATAATATTAGGATATCATTATGTCAATGTCAGAAATTTCTCAGATTCCTATCTTTAATATATAAAGTAGTTAATAAAAATTACAGTGAGTTTACTTCAAGAGAATTTCTGTCAACTTTTGAAGCTGTTGAACAAAATTATAGTGGATCTTAAATGTTTTCCAAAATACTAACTGTACACATAATTTTTAAATCAAGTTTAAAAAGTCATTCTAAGATTTGTGAAAATTAAAAATGAATAATAGCAGTAAGGTTTTCCATTTCAAAATCAGACAACTATACCAACTTAAACACATTAGGCAATAAGATAACCTACAGGTCCAAAGATAAACACAAGTAGATGAATAAATTGTTAGGCTGACAAATGCCATGGATTTTTACATATTTAAAAAAAAATAAAAAATTTAGATCATCAAATACTATTACCTACTTATTTTAATAACAATTTTATTTCCCCCAATGTGTATAATAAACACATATGTAAGACACTATGGATAAAAATTGCCTTTCTAAAAAAACTGTTCTACAACTGGCTCTCCAACAAAGACAGCAACATCCAGATGTCAACATGTTTTGATAGGTGTGGCTTTAATCAAGAGCCCTACTATTTATTCACTGACACATGAAAGTCAGAACTATAGAACTGCATGTTCTCTTACCGTCCAAGAAAACACTGCCAAAGGGGACGATTCTGTGTTGCCAAATCAGAATCTTTAGAACCAAATAATTTAGCTAGAAGCCGAACAACAGCTAATCGCTCTTCTCCATCATTGCTCTGGGGGAGGTGGGGAAAGAGGAAAAATAAATGAAGCCTGAGGTTGATTATTAATTTACAATTTCCTAATTCTGCTTATAATGGTGACAGCTTCATAGTACCATGTGCTTTCTTCTACTATAAAGAAATTGATGTTTCCATGTTACATTGTGTGGTTCTCTACTTGATTCACACTCCCAACTGCTAATTTATGTATACTTCAGAACTTGTTTGTAATCCACACATTCACTATCCATGTTTCAGAAATAAGAAAACCAATCAATTCTAAGATTTTCTATAAGCCTTAGTAAAATAAGAAATTGCGGAGGTCAGAGATGCAAACAATCCCTGCCTTACTAAGAACTGTCTTATAAAGAAATATATATATCCTGTGATTTAAGTTCTGAAATAGCCACATAGATACCAAGGAAGTCAAAATATATTGAACAAGGTTTTGTTATAGAAGTTTTAATTAATGTGCCATACTAAGTTGAGAACATGACTAAAAAGAATGCAAAGATTCAAGAAAACAAATTTTAATAGCAGAAAATATTTTTAAGTGGTGAGGCGAATTGGGCATTATAAAAAATAAGTTAGTTTAAAATAGAAAAAAATAAAGATTTTGAGAATATTATCTTTTACTTATGCATATTTACACTGAAAGCTGCGTGACACAGGCACACTTAGCAAAATAATGAAAAATGAAACTATCAAAATTTGACAAAAGTTTTTCTCAAGTAAAATGACAATAATGCTGGGTGGTGTTGCTTTTTAATAAGTCCGGCTATTAAAATTAAAAAAAAAAATAAGTCCGGCTTACTGGCAAACTTTTTCTTTTTAAAAAAGACTGTGGTAGTTACATAATTTCATGTCACCTTGACGATATATAAAAGTACAGGGGTAATATTCAACCTGTCAATCAGGTCACAGCCTGATGGTGTCTCCGCATGGGTGTAGTCTTTTCATAAGGAAGGCCCTGGGAATCTCCCCTTCTCTGTCTGCCTTCACCCTCTTACTGGCTGATGGATTGCTGCCAGAGCCCCGTGATGCTTCTAGCGCCCTTGGACTCACACAACGGCTTGTGATCTTCCTGCATTCTGCATCACTGCATATAGCTGTGTGAGCTTGCAGAGGGACTTAAGGACCAGTATTGGACTTTTGGACTTGAGTTGGCTGGCATGTTTTCCTGATATACAATTACTTCTTGATATAAAGCTATTTCTTATACAAAGTCTCTAGATTTCTCTAGTCAACTGGCCTAACGTAAAGATCAATCTATATCTTAAATGCTAGACACTACACTGTCAGACTCAAAATTTTGTTCTATTTGCAATGGCTATTTTATTAATGATAATTTCAAATGATGGAAGTTCACATCTATATATATTATTACAGAAATAAAAAGGTTAAGTGAAAACTTGCCCCCTCCCTTTTTATAATTTAAAATATATTACTTGAATAAGGTAAGAATGAGATTGCAGTGATGGTAATGGTTTTCTAGTGCAGTAATCATTCGGGGGCTCTGATTTACAACTTCATTACTTACTCATCTATCCCAAAGTGAACATGATCTCATAAAGATATATTCTATATAAATCTCTCTCTCTATCACACACACACACACACACACACACACACACACACTTTTAAACCACACTTATTTTAAATAACTTGGTAGGCAAAATAAGAAATTCTGCATTAATAGTTTACCAATCAATGAATTTCAGTAAAGAACTTTACTAAAGCCAGTCTAGTTTTTATTTCTCTCCAATCCTAGGCACAAAAGCTAATTAATTTTATCTTTGTGTATAATTACAAAGTAATTGATTTGGAAGCTCTGTGAAGTGTTACCTTTTACTCTAAAGCAGATTAATACAAATAGGACTTAAAAAATCCTTTTATTGGGGGTTCATATAGCTCTTATCACAATCTGTAATACATCCACTGTATCAAGCACATTTGTACATATATTGCCATCATCATTTAAAAAACATTTTCTTTCTACTTGAGCCCTTGGTATCAGCTAATTTTTCCCTCCCTCCCACACGAACCCTTGGTAATTTATAAATTATTATTATTTTTTCATGGCTTACACTGTCCAAGGTCTCCCTTCACCTACTTTTCTGTTATCCACCCCACTGGGAGGGGGTTATATGAAGATCACTGTAATCGATTCCCACCCAAATATGACTTTTTAAATGACTTTACAGTTTGGGAAAAAAATAGAAATATCAGTTTATTTCTGCCTGCCAGTCATTAAAAAATATGAGACCCTTAGAGCCCTTGGTTTAGAATCTCTTGATGTTTTAACAGAGAAAAACATAATATCTTTTAATACCAACATGCATTACAACTTACTAAGAGAATGTTTTTTCCCATATTTTCATATAATTTTGTTACTGAGTTTTTGAGCAGATATTCAAAATAATTTTGTGCATTTTGCAACAGAATATAATTTTGTGCATTTTGCAACTTAAGTTTGAAGATATGAATTAACTACATTATTTAAAAAGAGATTAAAGTCATGTCTTATCCTTGTAGTCAGAGAAAATTTATTTAACACACATTTTTAAAGTTTAAAGGGTCTGAGAATTTTAGTCAATCCTACCTTCAGTTTGAATTCAAGTTGTGGCATGACAGATAATAATAAATGAGGATCTATAGCAAAGAGCTCCTGAATTAGATCAAATACATGTTCTGACAAATCACTCACTGAAGACCTTCCCAGCACCAGGACTTGATTGAAAAACTACAGGAGATATTAAAAACAAAACTTAAAAAGCATGAAATATTTAAAAACTTGTTTCGATTTTCTATATAAACATGTTCTTTTGAGAAGTGCTATATAACCATGCATTTTATACATATCACTGAAGGGAATGAAGCAGAAAAGTGTTTTATGTATAATATGTAATAAGATGGTCACATAAAAAAGAGAAGAGTAAATCTCCAAACACAGAAAATTAACATCAAGTCATAAATGTAACAGGGAGGAGAGTTAAAAACAAAGAGAGCTCTTGGTTTTTTTTCAAAAGAGGTTACACTTCTGGGAATGTTAATTGTTATTGGACCAAAACAATTCAGATCGCTTACATGGCTCATTATAGAGAAGTCTCCTTGTAGCAAAATTCTAATTTAAAAAATTTTAAATTTATCTAATTATTCTAAGAATTTTGAATAAAGGAGTATTTAAAAGGAAAAATGAATTTGTCTTATAATACTCAGGAAATATATTTCTACTCATAGGACAAAGAAATGATGATATAAAACCTGAATTTTTAAAAAGCAACATACGAAAGACTTTAAAAGGTTCACTGAAAACTAGAATTAAAAGATTATGAAAAAATTTTCCTAGCTTTTTAAAGTGCCCTTGCATATTAAAAGTCAGATAATATTTATATTTATTATGAAGACCTTGAAAAATGAAGATGTTTACATGCTCCATTAGGAAGATGTCAAAAATACTTTTAAGTAATTAAATTAAGGAGTTGTTTATAAACCTTCCATTTAAAAAACAATTACACATAAAAACATATGGACACGTATAGGGCACTTTTGGAAAGATGCATGGAAACCAGCTGGTGAGTTATTTTTTGAGAATTCAGACTGGGATATTTGGCATGAAGACCAACAGTTTTTATTGCATGTTCTCCTGTGTTATTTGCAAAAGACTTTCTTTTTAAAAATCATGCTTGTTACTTTGGTAACAGAAATAACAACAAAGATTCATACTATTAAAATTAATAACCCTACACTTGGGTCTTTATATATACAAAATAATTCAATGAAAGAGAACAGTTACATTCATAAAGATGATTACTAAAGAAAACACTAAAAGAAATAAATGGAAGATAATCAGGAAATTGTTAAGACAAATGATGGGAATGTATCAATTCAAAGAAATATTTACAGCCATCAATAATAAAGATGAAGACAATGTCAGAGTAGAGAAAATACGTAAAGAAAGACATGAAAATGTCATAAAGAGCATGTGATTTTGTAGGTTTGAGTGTGAGGGAATATGTAGCAATGGAATTAAGAAAACAAAACTGCAAATACATTTTTCCCTCTAAATAATTGAGTTTTTACCAAAAAATTAACAGAATAAAAGTCTATTTTTAAAAAAAGGAATGTATAAGTATTTGAGGAAGAAATAGAAGGATTTCAACAGAATGGCCTAGAAGACAAGAAGAAAAAGAGACAGTGACCTAAACATAGCATGAAGGAAGAAAGCGAGAGAGATCAACATATTCGGGAGATACATATAAGTAGAAAGGTAGCAGAAGTAGCAGAGATTGTACAAAGGTTTTCATAAAATATCATTCTCCACCTTGTGCCACTTAAAAGCAATGCCAACAAGATGTGTGTTTAAAAAAAACCAAAACAATAGGCTTTTAAAGCTATGTTGCATTCTTTATCACTGGTTACATTTGCATATACTACTTTCATATTTGCTTTATATATATGAAATTAACTTGACGGACTAAATAAACCTATATACAAGAGATTCTTCTAGCAAATAAATATCCTAGATGTAGAATTTTATAGTTACAGAATAAAAAGTAGCAGCAGTACATACATTGGCAATGCATGCCTCAATAGTCTGGACTGTCCTTTTAAGCAGGACTTTTGCAAGGTCAAATGACTGCTTATTTAAGTTCTGAAAAACAAAATAGAACATGCAAAGTTACAATTTATAATAAGACAGCACGATTAGAACACTGAAGTCTTTTACCCTATAAAATCTCAAACAAAAATATGAACTTGGATCCAATTAGTATTTTATCTAATATCCTGCAGCCAAATGGTCTTAACTGCAGTCGTGAAAGAACACAACTATTAATCAAGACCTAAAATGCATTAACACGGCCAAATGTCCAAGTATAACACAATGCTAACTTTTATTAAAGGCTTTTGGTTTTATATCTGTTAAACAACCTGAACACCTGTGAATCTTAAACACATATGCACATGTGTAACCCATGATGCTCAGTATTTGTCTAATCAATGTGGGTTCAGAGGAAGGGTAGGACTGAGAAGAGTTCTAAGTGAAAAGAGTTCTTGATCAATTGTATTTCTGAAATACTAGATCCCCTCCTGCATTTTCCAAATACATTCTAACAAATTAAAGTGTTTGAGAAAGACGGTAGAAAATACATATTTTCAATTTAAAAAATGTACTGAGAAAGAACTCTTGCTTTCTTTATAATTATACCCATCAATATGTTTACCCTTTGAAGTTCTGTACCAAACAGATACATTAGCCATCATCTTGCACCTCTCCCCCAAAAGAGGCCAGGAAAATCTATACTTAAAGCAATTTTTTCTAAAGAGCCAGATCTCGCTCAAGCCAACTTACTGACATGGAGTTGAGTTTGAGTCATTGTGACTGAAGGCCAGAACAGAACGACCCATATGGGTTTCCGAGACTGACTCTTTATAGGAGTAGCTGAGTTTCAAATTGCTGACCTTGTTCGCAGCCCAATATGTAACTTACTATGCTACCATGAAGGGCTCCTAAAGGGCCAGGCAGTCATACCTATTTTAGGCTTTGGGAAACTAAAACATTTAGTCTCTGCCACAACTATACAGCTTTGTTGTTGTACTGTCAAAGTAGCTACAAAATGAAAATGAATGAACATTGGCTGTATGCCGATAAAACTTTATTTACATAAATAGGCAGTGGGTCTAATCTGGTCCACACACTACAGCTTCTTGACCTCTGCTGATGAATTTATGTCAGTGGCAAAAGGATAAGATTAGCTAAAAATTAAGACACTTTTTCTATTCCCCAAAAGGGATTATTTCCCCACTTATAAAAATACTCTCTAGCTAAAACATAAATGCCAAAATGCTTCTGATTCCTGTTTTTCTTTTTTATTCAGCCTGAGATAGGCTCTCCTGTGACATACTGTCAAAACTTTTATCAAACTATTGATTTAATTTGAATTGATAAAATTCAAAGAAATATTTATAGAGTAATAGAAAAAATTAAAGGTTAGTCACATTATATTGTAAATACGCTAAACTAGACAAATTTCACCTAACATCTGGTAACATGGCACTAAACCTGATTGGAAAAGACCAGGAGGAAAATTGCAGAAAATGAGGAAGGCTTCAGCAGAGCTCAGGGTGATAAATTCCAGGTAGCCAGTCTTTCAATTTCTTAGGACAATCTTGCAGGGAGAAATAAAAAAGTAAGTAAGGAGGAACAACAATGCTGTTTCATGCATTCTCCCTTAACCAACAAATGGTTTCTGCTTCTGTCTAAATCCTTTTCTATAAATGCCATAAAAAAGATAGTGATTCTGAAAAGAACTCTGAATCACCATGGTCTACATAGATGTATGGAGAAGAAAATATATTTTATTTTCCAAACAAAACTAACTCAAAAACAAGACGGCAACCCCTTATAATTCCGATTATGTAGGGGTGGTGAATATGAGAAAATATTTTATATAAAAACCCTGAATATAACAATATGTTAACTAACATGTTATCTAAAAACTGTAACGGTTACAAGATTAATGTGTCCTACTATATTTTATCTGGGGCTGGAGAGTGAAAGTGGAAACTATAATGACAACAAATGGTGAAAAAACAATATTGTGGAAACTATTATGACAGAAAATAGTGAAAATAAAACTGTCATTAAATATTCATCTTTAATATCTTTAGTCTTACAAACCTTATGTGCGGGAATTAGGTTAATAAGAATGGAGTCCAATAACTCTTGAGTAACTCCATCACCTTCCATGATGATAGAACTCATCAAGTCCAGCATGTGCATTTGTACTTTCTTATTGTGGCTATTGCTAAAATAAAAATAAAAAGGAAGGGGATTCAAAAATTTAAAATGAGAAAATTAAGCTTCCCACGTTAAAAGAATAATCTTAAACTTAAAAACATTTTAACTTAAAAGATCTATGCCAATAATGGTAAGGGAATTTTGATAATTGTTTACTGTCTTCTTCTGTTGACTTATTACAAAATCAGTATAATTTATTGTTGTATCTTAACAAAACAAAGATCTTTAAAATGCATTATGTTCCTACCCAAGTAGTATTCCAAGATTGATTTAAGTGTCAGCATCAAAGAAAAAACACTTTTGTTTATATCTATCTACACACACACGAGGGGGTACCCCCACAAAAGCCTGGGACTTGTGCTGGGTTGAGGAAGCTCTCGTAGTACGCATTTTCCCCACTAGGTAATCATTTAGCAACTCACTCTGAGTTAGTGTACCCAGTGGTCTTGCCTGGGAAAGTTCTTGTGGTAGTTACATAATCTGGTGTCAACTTGCAAAGTGGAGTCTAGCTTGTCAAGCAGGTCGCAGCTGGATGACCTCATTCGGAGGCGCCATGGAGACAAATAGCTCATTGGAGGCCAGAAACATATATAGACTCTGCTTCGAATTCCTGGTAAGACACATGGAGCTACGCTAGAGCCCTGAGGCATGTGGAGACCCACACCTTCATTGAGATGCTTACACTGTCACTGGATCCTAAAAATTTTCCACCCACTGGCCTGTGATATTCCTGCACTGGGAGTCATTTCATGTGTTTCATGAGTCTGAAGAGGAATTTATAGATTGGTAGCGGACTTATGGACTTCATCTGAACTGGGCTGGGTTGTTTTCTCAATAAACAATTGCTCTTTTATATAAAGGTGTTTCCTATACACATATGAGTCTCCCTGGATTTGTTTCTCTAATCAACCCAGACTAACACAGTTCTTTCTGGTCAATGAATTTTTTTCATAATTCCAGTTTCACTTGAACCTCGTTTTTTCTGATGGCCAATTTAAGAGAACAGCATGCGACTGAAATTTTGTTTCTTGCTAGGAAAAACTGCTGTAGAAACTATTGTGATGTTGGGCTTACAAGGACTATGGGAGAAATTACATTTCAAAAAAGGTGAAATGTCCAGAGGGAGGGGGAAAAATGAAAAGCTGATACCAAGGACTCAAGCATAAAAGAAACTTTGAAAGTGATGATGGCAACAAATGTACAAAAGTGCTTGACACATGGATGGATGTATTGATTGTGGTAAGAGAGATAAAATGATTGAAAAAAAAAAAAGTGAAATGTCAACTGATGACAACATTGTCCGGACATCCGACAACTTCCCGAATGGACAAAAATGTCAACTAGGCTGAAAATGTCAGCCTTTAGTATATTTGGAGTTCATTGCACTGTATTAGACTGTTAGTCAAACTTTCTATTTAGAGGTTCTGAAAAGATTGCGTAACTGTGAAACAAAAGGGCCTGATTTGTGGCAGAGGGGGGACTGGTTTTGCCACAACAAAGCACCTGCTCACACACCTATCTCAGTGTGCCAGTTTCTGGCAAAAAACAGCATGCCTCTTTTTCTCCACCCAACTTACTCATGTGACCTTGCTCTGTGTGACTTCTTTTTGTTTTTGTGAATGAAGAGGGACATGAAAGGATAGCAAATGTGATGACATACAAAAGGTGAAGAAAAAATGAGGGAGGTGCTGTCAGTCATCCAAAGAGATGAGTGTTTAAAATGTTTCCAAGAATGGATTTGCAGATTTGACAAATGCATTAAGTGAAATGGAGAGTCCTTTGAAAGTAATAAGATAATTACAAGGATCTACATATAACCTCCTCCCTGGGGGACAGACAATAGACAAATGGGTGATGGGAGACGTCAGTGCAAGATATGAAAAAATAATAATTTATAAACTATCAAGGGTTCATGAGGGAGGGGGAAGCAGGGAGGGAGGTGGAAAAATGAGCTGATGCCAGGGGCTTAAGTGGAGAGCAAATCTTTTGAGAATGATGAGGGCAATGACTGTACAAATGTGCCTTACACAATTGATATATGTATGGATTGTGATATGAGTTGTATGAGCCCCTAATAGAATGATTAAAAAAGAAAGTGATAAGGTAGTTTTGTTAAAAAAAATTTAAATACACAGATTTGACAAAAATTCCGTTTTGGGGGGTTACCCTCTCGTGTGTGCATATACAAACACAAGCATACATATAAAAACAAAAACAAAACTCTCTGCCAATGAGTTGATTCTGACTCATAGTGACCCTATAGGGTAGAGTAGAACTACTCTTTTGAGTTTCCTCAGCTTTAATTCTTTATGGGAGTAGAAAGGCAACTGGAGTGGTGGGTGAGTTTGAACTGCTGACTGTGTGGTTAGCAGCACATAGCCCACTAAACAACCAGGGCTTGTTTATTTTATCTGTCCCACATTCAAAAGGGAGGTTAACAGTAACAACAAGAAGATAATGAAAGTAGGCACTTTCTCCATCTTCTTTAAACCATAATGGATTACCCCATAAAGATAAAGTCATAGTCAAAGACAAAAAGCTTAAGCAAACACAAGTAATGTTTGCTTTGTTCACTACTAGTTTAAGCTCACTAAATTCAGAACTAAAATGCTTTATCAGAACTTATGACTAGAAAGTTCAGAAAATGTTATTCTATATCTTTCATAGAATTTCAAACAAATGAAAAATCAACAAGGTAAAATATAAGGCCACAATTCATTTCAGTTCTGCTTTCTTAACCAGTGAAGAGTCAACCGTAGGTCTCCTCAATGAATACACCTACTGTGAACGTGAACGCATTTAAAGAAGAAGCCACACCACTGGGTAAATTGTGCAGAAATTGTTGAGTGAAAGCCTAAAATGGCTATAGAAACATTCAATGGAAACACACACAAAAGAAGCAGACCACAAAACTCTTAAATGGCAGAATACCTAGGCTTTTTTTCCCCAATGGCATTTAATCTAAAGACTTGAACAACTGATTCCACATTTATCATAATATATAGACAAAAGACAAAATAAAAGCAAAACAATTTTGCTATAGCATTGTAGATATACAGAGAATAATCAAGGCTAACGTAAATTTTACTCCAGAATAGGGGCTAGTGTCTAAAATCTATAGGAAATTGCAACACTTCACTAAGACGAATAATTCAATTAAAAATGGGCAGAGAATATTAGGATAGTTTACCAAATAAGACATCTACACAGCCAACAAACACTGAAGAAATGCTTGCAATCACTAGGCACCCGGAAGATGAGAACCCAACCTTGCACAAACACTGACAGCAAAATTAACAAGCACAACAAAAGCCCAGAAACTAACAAATGCTGGAGAGAGTGTGAAGAGACTGGAACTTTCAAATACAACTGGTAGAACTGCAGAAATACGTAACCACTGTGGGAAACGGCATGGTGCCACCTCTAAAGCCTGAAAAAGAAATTCCTTAAGACCTACCATCTCTTTTCTGGGTATATACCCTAAAGAAATAAGACCCATAGCCTGAACAATTGTGTTCATCTGCACACTTTGTTCATCTCAGCACTGTTAACAGCAACAAGGTGGAAACAAACTTAAGTGCTTGTCAGTGGAAGAATGGATGAACTTTGGTGCATACACACAATGGAATATTATATACATTGCTGAGTAATGATGAAAATGGTCTGGATGGACCTGGAGAACATTATGCTGCGAGAAATTTGCCAACCACAAAAGGATAAATACTGTATGAGACCAGTTTTAAAGGAAAACACAAGACAATGTTTTTCTTAACAATAGAAGCTAACTTTGATCTTTGAGGGAGGGGGCAACAAAGGAGAGGTGTATTAAAGGCTGGAGCAGTGGTTTTCAACCTGTGGGTCACAACCCCTTTGGGGGAATCAAACGACCCTTTCACAGGGGTTGCCTAAGACCATTGGAAAATACAAATATTTCACAATATATAATTATATATTGTTTTGTGATTAATCACTATGCTTTATGTTAATTATGTATATTCAATTTACAACAATGACGATACATCCTGCATATCAGATATTTATATTACGATTCATAACAGTAGCAAAATTACAGTTATGAAGTAGCAACAAAAATAATTTTATAGTTGGGGGCGTCACCACAACATGAGGAACTGTATTAAAGGTTCTCAGCATTAGGAAGGTTGAGAACCACTGGGCTAGACGGTAGGTAAGTGGACTTGAGGAAGAGAGTAAACAGGGAGGTGTGGTGGTGGTAAGCTATTGGGGGTTAGATCAGTAGCTTAAGTTGTTATATACACAACTGACAGTCAGAAATGTAAACTCCCAACAAATTCACTATAAAAAGTTGAGAAAAAAATCCACTAAGTAAATTTTAAAGGGTGGGAGGATACAGTATTGGAGTAACTTGTTTTGTTATATACATTTTTAGCACAATAAAGCAGAACAACTTTTAAAAAGTGAACTTTGAGAACACTTGTATAGCTCATCTATAAACAATAAAACAAAACACACACACACACCCTAATAATGGATAATACATTTGCAGGGACATTGGTGACAAAAGACAAGAATAAAAATGAACGGGGTTGTTAGAAATTGTCCACCATCACAGATTAGAGTTTTGAGAAAACACCCTTTTTGTAAACAAACTCAAAACAAACCCACTGCCATCAAGTAAATTCAGACTTACAGCAACTGTATAGGACGGAAGCAAAACTTCCCCTGTGGGTTAGAGTACATAGCTTCAACGTTCCCCTGCAGAGCAGCTGGTGGTTTCAAGTGCTGACCCTGACTGCAGTCAGCAGCCCAACATGGAACCCTTGCAAATCCCTCTCCCAAATAACTATTTCCTTAACTAAAGATCAGGGGTTTTCAGGACCACTTCCATTGCTGTGTGAGGAGTAGGTGAATGCAGAACAGATATTCAGCTCTATGCACAAAAACCAACTTAGATGCACAGCTCTTAAAACACTGAATTGTAGGTATATTAATTGCATGTCAATAAAACTGTTGGCTCTGTATTTCATAAATACTTTGGGTTAGGAAAATAGTGGAGATAAGAATTTTCGCCATCAAGCTCAGAAGCAACAAAGCCCACATGGAAGAAGCACACCAGCCTATGCAACCACGAGGTGTCGAAGGGATAAGGTATAAGGTATCATCAGAACAAAAAATCTTACCATAGTGAATGATGGGGGGAGTGCGGAGTGGAGACCCAAAGCCCATTAGTAGGCCACTGGAGATCCCCTTGCAGAGGGGTCTCGGGGAGGAGATGAGCCAGTCAGGGTGTGATGTAACAACGATGAGAAATACAACTTTCCTCTAGTTCCTAAATGTTTCCTTCCCGCTCCCACTACCATGACTCGAATTCTACCTTGCAAGTCTGGCTAGACCAGAGGATGTACACTGGTACAGATAGGAACTGAAAATACAGGGAATCCAGGGCGGATGAACCCTACAGGACCAGTGGTGTGAGTGGCGAAACAGGGAGGGTAAAGGGAGAATGGGTAGGAAAGAGGGAACCGATTACAAGGAACTGTGTGTTAACAGTTGTATGAGCCCCTAATAAAATGTTTAAAAAAAATTTTTTTTCTAAAAATTATGTTCACTTGCTCTACTAATCCTTATCAGTTGCTCCTTTAGACTTCCACTTCCAGTCAGAAGGAAAATAAGAAAGAACTTATCTTTCTAATTGAAGCAATTAAAAACAAAAACAGGGAAAAAACAAAATAAGTAGCTTTCAGACATTAGATATCACAAAGATGAACCTGAGAGGGAAAACAAATGAGCAAAGTGGCAAAGTACCAAAGGGACAAAACTAGTTTTAAGTGGGCAGTCACAAAAGGTGCAGAATGACAATAAGTTTAAGTGTATAACTCAATTTTGTTGACTAATCTTAAAAGAAAGGGCACAACTATGTAAAATCCAAGAAACAGCCATACTTCTTTGCTGTCAGTGTTGCACACTTCTTTTATTATATGGCTTTGCTTCTTCTGTCATCAATATATAGCGTATATTTAATCAGCCCTTAAACCTGAGCTTGCCTATATACCTTGTTCTGGCCAATGGAACAAGCATACAAGAAGCAAGGAGAACACAATGGCACTTCAACACTTTCTTGCCATTTTAAAACCCAGTCATCATATGAAAAAGTCTGAACTATGAACTAGCCTGATGAATGAAGAAGATACAGACCCAGTTATCCCATCACCCCAGGTAATACACTTGTTAAAGTGAGATAAAGGCCAGGAAAATTGCATCAAGGAATATTTTCCCCATCACAATAATGTACCTGTTTGTTCTTCTAGGGTAGCAAGGGTTGTCCTATGAGAATTTCATTGGCAAACTTTGCCTCATCACCCTATAGCCCTAACCCTACCCTCTCAGACTTCTTGAAGTTTTCCAAACTCAAAGAACATTGAAAGGAAACAAAAAGACCCCTGAGGATGTTAAACTACTTGACCTAGTGTAATAGAAGAGCACAAAATACTTCAAGAAAGGGTTAGAGATGGGAACACTACCTTCAGAAGTGTATATGGAGGATATGTTGAGAAAGAATAGCTTCCCAATTTTATATTTTTGTTTCATAAAGATTTGATTTTGTGGCAGTATTTTTTTACTGACCCTCGTAAGGTCTCTATTTTACTTTATTATTGTTCTATAATCCCTAGTACAAATGGTACCAAAGGGATAAAACTAGTTTTCAGACACCTATATTTTGGGTTATTTCCCTTCATGTTAAATCATTTATGAGATAAAGTTATTTATATAGGTAGACTTGGGATTTATGGCAAGTTCAGTTCCAGATCACTGCAATAAAGTACAACACACAAATGTTTTGGTTTCCCAGTACATTTAAAAGTTATGTTGATACTATACTAAAGAAAGTAAAACAAAAAACCCCAAACAATTCCCACTCAAAACAACCCTATAGGACAACACAGAGCTGCTCCATATAGGCTGAGACCATAAATCTTTATGGGCGTGGATGGCCTCATCTTTCTCCTAGGAGTGGCAATAATATTATGAAGTTTTAAATTACTAAGAATTAATGAAATGTGACAGAGGCATGGGGTTAGACATGCTTTTGGAACAATGGCTCTGACAGACATGCTCCACTTGGGTTGCCATAAACCTTCAACTTGTGAAAAACACATAATGGCAAAACAATAAAACTCATTGCAAAAACAAACAAACAAAAAAAGAGGTGTACCTGTAATTCTAAAATATCTTACTGTGACATGACATTATAACACATACAAGAAAAAGTGATGCTTAAACAGCAGAGTTAAAACAATAACTTACTTGATCACTGAGAAGAGAGTTCTAAAAAGTTGAATAAAAATTTCATTGCAATCTTCCAATTCAAAGCAGATGTTATATGATTTAACCCAAGCTAAATTCTTTAAATAAATAAAAATATTACATAATTATACATATTCAAAATAGTTATGATAAAACAAATTCATTAATGAAATCTATTTTAGAATTTGAAAATTATATTAAAGACTGTAAAGGTTCAACATATAAAATTAGTTATATACTCTGACATTTAAAAGTTGCTAAAGGCTAGTGTGTGTGTATATATATATATATATATATATATATATATATATATATATATGAAAAATAGTGAAAGTGAATATAATTGAATACCATTTAGGAATAGAAAAAAAAAATCCTCAAAGTTTAAAAGTAAAAAAAACAAACAAAAAAACAACTATAGCTTTAAAACCTGACTGTGGTAGTTATGTGATTTTATGTCAACTAGATATCCCTGACTAGGGGTGGAGTCAGACTTGTCAATCAGCTGCTTCCTTGGGGGTGTGGCCTTCTCGTAAGGAGGCCCCTCTCTTTCTGCCTTTCACTTGCTGGACAAGCTGACAGCTGCTGGAGCCCTGCTATGTTTCCACTGGCCTTGGATCCACTGGACTTTGCACCCACCAATCAGTGGTCTTCTTGCATTTTGCATTATTGCATATGGCTGCGTTGAGGGGCCTGTAGACTAGTATCAGACTTATGAACTTGAGTTGGACTGGGCTGGGATGTTTTCTTGATATATAATTACTTGATGTAATGCTCTTTCTTATACACATATGAATGTCACTGGATTTGTTTCTCTAGTCAACCCAGCCTAACACAATAACTTTTCCCCATGAAATGTTTTTGTCTCCTCAAGATATAAGGAGCAATAAAAAAGAAAACCTGTATGTCTATTATAAAATGTGAAAGACAGTACTTGTGTCGTATAAAACAAGAAGATGCACTTTATAGTACAATGCTACTATATAGAATTTCTAATTAGATGCAGTTGTCAGTATTTAAAGAATAAAAAAAAAATTTTTTACCTCTAGTAAATAAAAGTATCTATTAAATTGTGGGCTCTTTGTATCTTCCAAACCTTTTAATTGTCTGGTAATAAACAAAAATATGTCCTGTTAAAAAATGATAAAATATATTATTTGAGAATATTTATTATTCATCATAGAACTATAATACTATAGATATATCATCTATTACAAACACAATAAAAGAACATTCTCTTTTAGTCAATTGTCTACAAAAAGCAATGTAGATAGATGATTGCTTCCACAAATCTTCATGCTTTCTTGTTCTGAGAGGAATCCAGGAGGCTGTAATTTAATATTCCCTTTCCTTGCCCTTTACTCACTATCTTTACCTTGCCTCTTGGCAAACAATGATCTTCACTTTCAGAGCTGGTTGAGTCTTCCCATTACAAATTCTTACAGGTAAAACATAATCTTCCTTACCTAGTTTAGAATTTGACTTGTGACTATAACTCGAACACTGTGTGGAACTAACACAGTAGGTATAAAGGTTGTACTTTAGACAATGTTTCATTTCCTAATAAAGCTTTTAAAAACCTTAACTTTACATAGCATTAATATGGAACAAAATGATTTCTATGCTAATTAAAAAGAAAATCCAAAGGCTTAAAATTTGCCAAGGATAGAATAATTCAGAACATGAAATCAGTTCAAGAGGAGTTTAAAAATATTGTGAACCAAAGCAGAACCACCAAGATAGGCATATAGTTTTCTATTTTAATATATTAAATGGGAAAATAATCCACTGAAAGTGTCAATTTTGGTATACTACTTTTTTAAAACAGGGTTATTTCTTCAGTTTAACCATTTGCGCCTTCTAATGTTTTCCTGAAGGTTAAACATGAGTAGACAGTGGCTAATTTTAACCTGCAGCTTTCAATGCCTTATAAAAAAGGTAACAGGCATCTTGTGGTTGCTTAATGAATATGAATTAAATGAATTATTAGCTTGTTTTGCTACTTAAAAGCATAATATAAGGAAAATATTCTTAATATAGTAAGATGCATAATATGAAAACCTACATTTTTACTATACAAAGTAAAATAGTTGTATACAGATTATATTTACCTTAAGTTTATCATGGGAAGTATATGGAGCTTCAGGGGCATAAATTCGAAAGATGTCAGCCAAACAACATGCTACTAGGAGACGCACATCTTTATTGGGATTCCTGAGGAAGAATTCAGATGCAAGATGCAAGGCTAGTGGGAGATACTGCTGCTTTTCGTCTTCTGAATCCTGATCCATATCCATAAAAGTTTTCACTACCATCTGTAATCATTTATAAAAGAAAAATAAAACTCCAAATATTTAGATATCATTGAAAAACATCATCAACACAACATAAGCTAGCAATCAGTTACTATGATAGGATACACAATTGGATACAATCAAACTTTGTCACATCTTCAATTAAGAGGCAAAATGGCTATTACCAATGAATAGTGTATCTATAAATAACCACTTATTCAAGACACATTAGAACCAGATTTATTAAGAACTTAAGACTCACATGCTTTTTATATCTAGTCCAAGGGGAAAAAGGCCTTGGCATATATAGCTCAAAATTCTTTGCAGTAACATAAATTATGTTTCTATGACATTTTATTATCAAAGTTTCCTTGATTGAGGAACCTCAAAACTATTTCATTTTTATGTAGTAGTAGTTCTGATAAAAAGAATGTAATCAATGTCACAGGACAGTTGTGCAGAAACTGCTGAGTAGGAACCTAAACTGCTTTATAAACTTGTGAAAAACACAAAATTGAAAAAGAAAATAACTTTAGTTATTTAAGGCTATAAAATTAACAAATACATATTTTAGAATCACAACAAAATATAAATTATCCTTTTTAAATATCACGTACTATTCTTTTAGTATATACACACATTATCAAGACACTTTCACAAAATCATTTAAAAAAAAACTTGGTTGTAAGCAGAGTTCATCATAAAACATTTGTGTGTATTTTAAGCTGGTCTGTTATCTTTGTAAAATACAAGTATCTATACTATAAATCTGTTTATTATCAAGCCACAAATATTTCCTCATGTCTTGAAATTTTTCTCTAAATATTTTGCATTAGTCTCCATTGTCATGTACTAATATTGCATTTCTATTTTTGTTAAGTTTTTAAAAATCATGAATAGATGGTGAATTTTTTTCTGTGTCTGTTGAGATGATCAGAGGGCAGTGGTTGTTCAGGGAGAGAACTCTTGCCTTCCACGTGAGAAGACCCAGTTTGAATACTGGTTAATGTACCTCTGCACAGCTACCCACACATCTGGTTTATGTGTTACTACGATGAGAAAAGGTTTCAGCAGATCTTTTAGGCTAAGAAAATAGGCTTCGAGTATGAATCACTTCCAAAAATTCTATGGATCACAACAGTTAGATCTCTTTTTCCATAGGTTGCCCTGAGTTGGAGAGCCAGTTTGATGGTAGTGAACAACAATTGAGACAGGTATATTTTGCCACCAAGTTCTGCTAAATACAGTCAATTCCATTGACTGGTTTTCTAGAATTGTTCCAAGTTTACATTCCTGTAGTTTTAGTCCGAATTTTCTTAAAATGAATTCAACTTGGTCAGGGTACTTTCATATTATCACTGGATTTGATTTGCTTTTGTTTCATGTTTTACATTTATATTCATAATCAAACTGTTTGCTAGTTTCTTTGAAGATATCCTGGTATTTTTAGTATTGACGTTATATTAGCCTGAAACAAATTGAGATGCACTCCCTCTTTTTCTATTCTATGGAGAGTGGTTAAGACTAATTTTATTTTTTCCCCTAAAGCCTGACTATATCAAAGAAGTAATCCTAATCGAATTGAGAAAATATTTTGAACTGATAATTTATTAAACAAATTATCAAAATTTGTGGGATGCAGTTAAAGCTGTGTTTGAGGAAATTTAATGGCCTTTATATGTATACCAGAAAAGACAGAATGAAGTGTCAGTGATTTATATTGCATCCGAAGTTAAAAAAAAAAAGAAAAGCCTATTCTGAAAAAGAAAACTAACAAAAGTTGATTAGTGAAAGGTTCAATAAAAGTGAAAGACATTAGGTCCTCATTTTTCCCCTCCCTCCCCACTCCCATCTCCCGCATGAGCCCTTGATAGTTTATACATGGGTATTTTGTCGGGGGTTTAAATGGAGAGAAAATGATTTGAGAAACGATGTACAAATGCGCTTTACACAATTGATGTGTGTATGGATTGGGATAACAGTTGTATGAGCCCCTAATAAAATGTTAAAAAAAAAAAAAAAGAAAATAAATTAAGGATCACATAATGAAAAAAAAAAAGAAAAAGTGAGACTTCAGGCAAGAGTAAATCAGGAAAAGGAAGCAGTCAAGAATGAATATTAAAAATAATTTGTGTATATTTTCACTCCAATTAGTTGACTCTTGACCAACACGTTTGAATTGTGTGGGCCAGCTTATAAATATGGGCAGTTAAGCTCTGCAGTAACTACTGCCATTCAATCACCACTTTGATGAGAATTGTCCCCAGGGGATGATTAATGCCACATGTTTTTAAGCAGATACTTCCCAACACTGGAGCTCATTGCAGTAGCAGCAGGAAAACAAATCTGCTTATTAAGTGGGCCTGCTCTGTCCAAACTTGTGTTGTTCATGGGTCTATTATAAATTATATGCAGATTTTTCAACAGTGGAGGAGGTGAGCACTCCCAATCTCAGTGTTGTTCAAACGTCAACTGCATATTAAAAAACCAAACACACAAAACATTAACAATAAGATTTAAAAGGAAAAATAGTAATATCTAGAATGAAAAATGAAACATAATTACATATCCTATTTGTACATTAGAAAAAGAAAACCTGTTACAAGGAAAATAAACAAAATAAATAAAACTCTCTTGATTTGCAGATGATACAATGCTATATAGAGAAACCCCCAAAGATTACAACAAAAAATTGCTAAATTGAAAACCTGGCAAAGTAGCAGGCTGATAGACCAACTTATCAGGTTAAAAGACCAAAATAGAAAAATCAGTTGGATTCTTGTATATTAAAGAATATGACACAGAAAAGGAAATTAAAAAGAACATTGACAATAATAACTACCTGAAAGATAAAATGTTTAGGAATAAACTTTACTAAGAAATAAAAGAACTTATACAAAGAAAATGATAAAACATTTCTACGAAAAACCAAGAGACTTGCTCTGTGCTCTTGGTTAAAAATATGAAACTCGTTGCTATTGCATTGGCGCCAAACCTCTATGATAGGAATGATCTGTTCCTCTGAGTTTCTAAGACTGTAACTGTTGTATCGGAAGTTGAGAGCCTAGTTTTTCTCCTGAGAAGCAGCTGGTGGTTTCGAACTGCTGACCTTTTGGTTGGCAGACCAACTCTGAATTACTGTGCCACCAAGAATCCTATGCTCATGGAGAGGAATACTTGACACAGTGGAAATGACAATATTACAAAAAGCATGCTATACATTCAATACAATTCTGATCTAAATTCCAGTATGATTCTTCAAAGAAATGGAAACGCTAATCACCAACTTCATATGTAAAGGAGATAAACCCAGGATAAACAAAGACTATTAAAAAAAGACAAAAATAAGCAAGAGACCTTTCACTCCTCATTTCATAACCTATTATACAGCCATGGTAATCAAAATAGCTTGGTATAGATATGGTCAGATATGTAGACTAATGGATTAGAATTGAGGACCCAGAAATACAATCAAGTACCTACAGACACCTGGTCTTTGATTACGGACTAAAACACACTACAGGATGTAATGTAAACACAATGTAATGTAAAACACAAATGATGCTGGAAATACTGGATCTCTACCTGCAAAACAATGAAACTGGACCCATTTGCACACCACATACAAAAGTGAGCTCAAGATCAATTAAGACCTAAATATAAATCCTAAAACCATAAAATATAATTAGTGAAAAAATTAGTGAAAAAAATGAGGACAAACTGAAAGGCATTAGTACAAGGAATAAATATACTGTGAACATAACAATGGGGTTAATTAAAAAAACCTATAGAAAATTATAGCTTATTAATAAGAAAGAGGCACAAGACATGAATAGACAATTTACTAAAGATGACATCTAGGTGGCCAACTATCCCGTGAAGAAATGTTCCCATTAATTGGCCCTAAGAGAAATACAAATTACAACAATAACGAGATACCACCTCACATCAATATTCCCAAGGGAAAAATAAAATAAATGCTAGGGAGGATGTGGAGAAATTAGAACGCTCATTCATTGCTGGTGGGATTGTTGAACTGTATAACCACTATGGAAAACAGTATGGCCTTTCTTAAACAAATGCAAATACAAATACTTTATGATCCTATAATCTCTTTACTTTGTATACCTTCCTAAAGAAATAAAAAAGTAAAATATAAACAGACATATACATAAATGTTTATTGCAGCAATTTCTAGAATACCAAAAAGATGGAAACAATAAAAGACCCAATTTGTAGAGGAATAGATAAACTCTGGTACATATACACATAAATTATCTACATCATTAAAAAACAATGACAAGTCTGTCAAACACCTTATAACATGGACAAAATTGTAGGACACTATGCTCAACAAAGTTACACGATCTCATAAAGATATTACTACAAAGGAAAGCATAAAAATGGTTTTCATCCCAAAGGAGACGATTTTAAAGACAGCGAGAAGGCCACGGCCAAGGGGCCCCGGACAGCAGATAAGAGAAAGAACAGGAAGATAGAGAGGTACTGAGAAAGGGAAAAGAGTTTAATTTAAAAAGGATAACATAAAGACTCACATCTACAGGGAGTTTTTTTTAAAAAAAGGATAACAAAGAATCACATCTACAGGGAGTTTAATGTTTTGGTGAGATGGGCTATGCAACTACATAATGCTTTCCTTTGTATGTGCTATGTCCACAAACAAAAAGGGGAAATAAACAGATACATAGGACACAACGTTAATGCCCCCATCCCCAGATTCCTTTTATCAGACATAAACATTGGTCTGATTACTTCTAAGAGGAAAAGTAAAAATGAAATGGTTTAAATTCTTTGTGACACACAAGATAATTTCAAACAAAAAAAGGAAAGGAATCTGAAATTAAAAACCTTCCCATAAAGCAATCTCTAACGCTAAATGGTTCATGACTAACTAAACAGATATAAGTTGTATATAATATTAGTTCTGTTCAAAATACCAAGCATTTCCTTGTCATTCTGACGCTATTACTATAGTGGTTGGTCAGCAGGAGCTTTTTTTT